TGACTTGCATTCTCCCCTGACTGCACTCCAGTGAACACAGGAATTATTGAGAGATGGAAAGGGCCCTGGACTGGGAGTCAGGAAGCCCCAAATCTGTCCAGATCTGCTTATGGACTCACTGTGGCTGGTTAATAATAATTAGAGCAAAGGGCTGGGGATTTAGCTCAGCAGCACGACACCTGCCTGGCAAGCACAAGGTAGTGAGTTCGATTCCCGCTACCGGGAAAAAAAAAAAATCAGAGCAAAAAGGGGGCGGGACTGTGAACTATTACGCTAAAACTTATACGTGGATAAACCTATTTCCCATAACTTTGTCCCTCTTTTTCAGACAAGGAAACAGAGGCTTGAGTTGGGCATGGTGGCACATGCCTGTAATTCCAGCACTTGGGAGGCTGAGGCAGGAGGATCGTTGCGAGTTAGAGACCAGCCTGGGCTACAAAGTGAGCTCAAGGCCAGCCTGGACTGCATAGGGAGACCCTGCCTCAAAAAGACACACACACACACACACACACACACATGAAAAAAAAAAAAGAAACAGAGGCTCAGAGAGGTTAAATGATCCACCTAGTGTTCCACATCCAGGAAGCGGTAAAGCACAAAATCAAACCATGAGGGGCTGGGGATTTAGCTCAGTGGCAAAAGCGCCTGCCTGGCAAGCGCAAGGTCGTGAGTTCGGTTCCCGGTACCGGAGAAAAACCAAAAAAAAAAACAAAAAAAAAACAAAATCAAACCATGATTCCACACTTTCCAGTTAATTTCTCTTTCCAGTCTCAGTTTCCCCATCTGTAAATTAACAGGATTGGTACCTTTTTTTTTTGAGGGGGGCTGTTGCTATGTACTTCAGGCTAGCCTCGAACTCACTATGTAGCGCAGGGTGGTATTAAACTCTCAGCAATCCCCCTGCCTCAGCCTCCCAAGTGCTGATTACAGGCATGCACCAATATGCCCAGGTAGGATTAGTATCTTTGAACTCCAAAGACCAGAAGCTTCCAGCTCTGACAATCTGTGCTTTATGCAACATTCAGTGTATTGCCAGGCCCTGGACTGGGAATACAAAGATAAGTGAGGCCTCACCTCTGTCCTCATGTTATAAACCCTGAGAGAGTAGAAATCACACTTAGTTGTCTTCACTTCCTCTACACCACTCTCCGCAGCAATGTGTGAAGAGAAGGTGCTCAAAATATTTGGACATCTGATTCCTGCAGAGTCTGTTATAATCGAGGTCCTGTCACTACCCTTGCAAGAGAAAATCGTTTAACTTCTGTGTCTGTCTGTGTATCTGAAACATGGAAATTCACAATAGTACTTTCCTTACAGTGTTACCCAGAGGAGGAGACTAGTGGCTGGGGAAAAAGCTGCTCAATAAATACTGTTCCTGTCCTAGAGATGGAATCTCTGCTCTTTTGCTTTACCTTCACTAAGTGATGTGGGGCTATGCTGTCCCCCTTCTCTGCTGTCCCCAAGTCAAAGGCATGAGCTCATTTCTACCGTGGGAGCAGATAGCAAACTTGCCCAGCTGGGTCTTGAGCAATGGAGAGGGAAGGAAAGCAAGGGAAGGTGGAAAGGAGGCTGGGCTCCTGCTGCCCAGGAAGCCCTCCCCTGGACGCTGATTCCTATGCAGGCCCTGCTCCTCCCTGGCACGACGTCCCTTCTGTCTAGACAGTGCTCCTCTGAAGAAACTGCAAGCCACAGACGGTCAGGTGATCAAGCCTGCCCGAGACAAGAGTCCCCTGCCACAGGATTCACTCCCCACTCTTCAGGAAAGGGGAAGCCTCGCTCCCACCTCTGAGCAGAGGAGGTAGTTGTGCCTGGGCGGCTTCTTTATCCATCCATCCACTCATCCATCAGTCTTTGGTTGAATGCTTACAATTTGTGAACCCCAGGGATAGTCATGGGGCACATCTAGGTAAGGCAGAACCCTCCCCTCCGGGAACTCATCAGTTGTGGGAAGCAGGTATCTAATTATAATTACAGTGAGGGCCAGGGATATAGCTCAGCGGGCACAAGCACCTGCCTGGCAAGTGCAAGGTCTTGAGTTCGATTCCAGGTACCAAAACAAACAAACAAAAACAAAAAAACTGCACACACATATAATTACAGTGACAAGGGACAGCCATGGGGCTTGGTGTATGCCAGGCACTGCACTATGTGTGTGTCGTACATGTGTGCCAGTTATAGCAAGATTTCAATTTGCCCTTCGTCGTAACCCTTTGTGGTAAGTAAGGTCCATTGTGATCATTCTATGCATGAGCAAAACAAGGCTCCCAGACCTGAGATAACTTTGCTGGAGTAGCACAGCCCCTGAGCAGCGAAATCAAGAGTCAAGCTCAGCTGGACTGCTGAGCCTGTACTTTTAACCCCCACCACATCGCCACCTCCGGGAAGAAAACCACACTTTCGTGCAGTAGGAATGGGTAGACACACAGAGAAGGAAGGAGATCCAGAGCTGGACCTTGAGGGACGAGTCCCTGCGGGATGAGGAGGTATGAAAGTGTGGAAACGAGGCGGAGAGAGCTTTCTAGATGGAAGAAAAACACGAGTCAGGTCTGGCTATGAAGAATACTGGGTAGGACTGGGTTGGGAAGATCCTCTAATGGCAAGAAAGGGAGAGGCGGGGCCTCTCAGGAGGTGCAGGGAGGAGCTAGGGATGCCCAGGTCTTTCGGCAGGGGGCGCTGTGCGGCTAGGAGTCTGCTTCCGTTAGCCATGCGGGTTGCTCAAGGGGACAGACAGCTGATGAGGAATTGACCCAAGTTTTTGGTCTTTCTGTAGTGGTGGCACCGATGCGGACTTCAGTAGTCTCGCTGGTGATGTCCACATGGCTGTCAGAGTTCAGGACACGAGGGACTGCAGCCTGTGCTGCCCAGTCCTGCCATGCGTTCCCTTGCTCAGGCTCTTCCCTGGTTCCCATGGGCTCCAGGGTTTTTTTTTTTTGCGGGGGAGGGTACCGGGAATCGAACTCGGGATGTTGAGATTGCCAGGCAGGCGCTTGCGCCGCTGAACTATATCCCCGGCCCGGACTCCAAGGCTAAAGGGAGCACGTTTTATTTGGCCCTCAAGGCTTTTCATAAGCTGGTCCTTCCTGCCCCTCCAGCCTCACCTAAAGACTTCAGCGTCCCTTTCCGAACTCTCTCTTTGGCCCTGCGCTTCTGCACAAGCCGCTCCTCCCCGGGACTCCCGCTTCTCCTGCCCTTTCTTAGCTGCTTCCTACTTCCCCTTCCCTTCAGGGCTCAGCACAGGGCTGGCCCTTCCCAGTGTCCACTCCTAGCTGGGGTGTGCCTCCACCGGCTCCTCCCCACCCGTGCTGTGCTGAGCTATGCGTGGTTTCTCCCGCGGGCTGTGAGTGCCCAGGGACAGGGACCGCGCTCCACACCTCCATGGCCCCGGGTAGGGGCTGAGACGCGAGGTGAACTCCCTGCGGCAGCCCCAGCCTTTTCCATCAACCAACTCTCCTGCGTTCTTTACTCTCCAGGCTCCTTCTGTCCTTGCACAGCAGTTAGCTGACGTGAGGTTTGCCCCGCTCCTGTCCCTCCCTTGCTCATCCCTGGCCAGGACTGCTTCTGGGGTGTCAGAATCTTTCCCTAAAGGACACATACTCAGGATGTATCTGTCTCTACTCTGCCATGTGGACGTTTCAACAAAAAGCTCTCAAACCAGACTAGAACCCTGGCAGCAGCCACAGTGCTTGGGCCATACAACCAGGCCCCTTGGCTCCTCTGGGACAGTTCACTTGGGGGCATCAGCAGCAGGGCCTATTTTGAGACCTGCCTACGCTTGCTATGGGTCAATCTTCTTATTTCCTAAGTGGGAAAAGAGCCCAGGCCTGAGTAGAGTAGAGAGGGCTGAGGTGTGGTTGCCGATAACCCCTGACTATTTGCCAGTGATTTATTTGCCTGGGATTTGCACTAAGACAGAAAGAACGTTTGCATTATTAATGATCATTGATCACAGCCTTCCAAAAAACAGAGGTTGAGAGCACTGGAGGCTCTGGGCCAATCATCAAATGATAAGCTGGGGCGGGGGTGAGACTGGAGGAAGGAAGGGAAGGCCAGGTAGGTGGAGAATTTTGTGCAGACGGAAGGACACAGAATGACACTGAAAAAAGTATGGACGGGCTGCTGAGCTTTCTGTGAGCCAGATGTCGAAGGTGCCAGCGCCTACCTCAGGCCTCTGCCTCCCCGCAGCTAAGAAGACCTCAAGACGACATTACGAGGGACCTGGATGCAAGACCTGTCCAGCATTCCTGCCTCTTCGCTGGAAGTTTTTTGCTGTGCCTGTCTTTGAGCCCAAGTCCTCTCTCTCAGCTGGCTCTCTGCAGTCAGGCAGATTGATCTCGGCACCCCCAATCCCTGCGGGAACCTCAGTGGGGAGGCTGGACTTCAGAATCCCCTGACCCCACAGCGGAGGTCACCCTCAGGAGCTGGCTGGACAGTGTCTACCTCTGGACGGATAGGGTCGCTCCCTCCCTTCCTCCCGTCTGCGCAGCAAGCCTGCTTTCCCAGTGTACCCTCCCGTGGCCACCAGTCAGAGCCCCCACCTCACTGTCTCCATCCACTGCTTTATTTTCTTCTCTACCATCTATGGACCTCCATACACTGTTTATTAGCAAGTACACTGCGTCTGCGCCCACACACTGTAGGCTCCGGGGTCCACGTCTGTTTTATGCACTGCTTTATCCCCAGGGCCGAGGGCATGCCAACCTAGGCTACATCCGTAAATATGCTGACACCGATTTGCAGCCAACACAGGGGACAGGGACGGATGAGGTCTCCGGGCATGGCCCACCTCCCTGCACACCCCTGCCCTAGACCCAGCTCACCGCCCTCCTACAGGTGTGGACCTCCTCCATCCGCTTCCCGGGGTTGGGGCCGGGTCTCGGAGCTCCCAGGCCAGCCGCACCGGGGTGGAGGGGGCCGAGCTCCTTCCTGGAGGGCGGGGGGCCGAGTGGGGAGCGAGCCTGGAGGGGAGGAGCTGGGGAGGGGAGCGCGGAGCCGCGGCGGGCGCGGGCAGGAGCGGAGCCCGAGCCGCAGGGCGGTGGGACGCAGGGAGGTGGGACCGCGAAGCGCGGCTTGGCGGAGTCCCCGGGGAAGCGGCGCCCGGAGCGCGCGGGGGTCGCGGCGGAGACCAGGCGGCAGGAGCGGAGGCAGGAAGGCCGGGTCGCGGGCGCCTCCGGGCGTGTTCACACCTGCCGCCGGGGAGCGGGTAAGCGCTCGGAGCCGCGTGCCGCCCGGGGAGGGGGCGCGTCGCGACCTCCGCGGCGGGGTCGGGCCAGGACTGTGTGGAGGCGCGGGGCGGGACAGCCCCTCGCCCGGCTTCGGAGACCCGGGCGTCCCGCTGCTCTGCGCCTTCGGACAGGAGGGGCGCGCGCGGGGCAGGGTGTCCCAGGAGACCAGCCCGGCCCGAGGGGAGCCCCGGGATGGGGGGTGAACCGGCACAGCCCCCGGGGGCTGCTGCGGTTTCTGGGCGCTCGTTCCGGGTGCCGCGCGCCGCAGCAAGATGTGGAGGGGCGGGAGGTTCGTCCCCCGGCTGGGGCTGCGACGCCCCCAGGTGGCCCCCGAGCGGCCGAGGGAGGCCGGGCGCTGCCCCCTGCCGGCCAGGTCTGGGTTAGGCGCCGGCGCAGGGGCGCCCTCGCCGGAGCGGACTTGAAAGAGTCCGGTGTGGAGCCCCAGCTTCCCTGCCTTGCTTGTGACCTTGGGCAGGTCACTACGTCTCTCCGAGCCTCGATGTGCACATCTACCAAATGGGGGGGGGGCTATTTCTGCCTTCGGATTCGTAGGAGTGAACGAGATGCCCAATGGATACTTTTTTGTGTGTGTCTTTTTGAGACAGGGTCTCGCTATGAAGTTCAGGCTGGCCTTGAGCTCACTTTGTAGCCGGGGCTGGTCTCGAACTCGCCGATGGATGCCTTTAAAAAAAAAAAATTATGAAGTTCTGTTCAATTCCTAGCTAATCACATAATGCCGGCACTGGAAGGGCATTAAGACATCTGCTTTATTGCAGATGGGGAGAGTGAAGAGTAAATCTTGCCCAAGGTCACAGCGCTTGTAGGAGACTATGAGACTAAAACCCCTTGCCTCACTGGCAAGTTCAAGGATTTCTGGGGGGCTAGCAGGGCTCTCGGTCAGTCTGGCTGCTTTACCCAACTGGCCACGGCACCTTACTGCCTACGTGATCCCTGGCAAGATCTCAACCTCTCTGAGCCTTGGCTTTCTCCTGTGTGAAAGGATAACAACGTCTATCCCACGACTTTGCTGTGTACATCACATGGGATCATTCCTCGGCATAACCTGGCCCCAAAGGAGGGCTCAGTCCTCGGTGGCCATCACTGCCCTGATTCCTAGGAGCAGCGTCTGATCCCTTCCTTGGCATCACCTTCCAGGGTTTCCCAGTGGAGCATACGCTGTGGGTCTGTGCTTTCCTGAGACCTCACAGGCAGGGTCTCAGCTCTCTTTGCAAGGATATTGAGGGACCCTTTATCGCAGCAGCAAGTGGAGGCCCCTTAAGTAGCTGGGTCTTCTTCACCCTCTGATCCTGGGAGCGAAAGTGGGTGGGCTTTGTCATGGTGGCATCCAGGAAGCCAGGAGCTGGAGGGGCCCGTTGGAGGTTGGGGCCAAGGCCAGCTGGACATGACTGGCAGGACCTGAGGCCCCCACTGGTCCCCAGGTGGTACAGGGCCAGAAATACAGAGGGGCTGCCTGAGAGCTGGTCTGCTGCCCAGTGGATAAAGAATGAGGGCGGGGCCACTTCGTAGTCCCTTCTCTCTCAGGGCACAGATGGGTGAGTATTTTTTTCCACATAGTGATGCAAATATGAACAGAAATAACAGATTCTTAGAGCTTGTGGTTTCCAGACCCAAGAGCTCCCTCTCATGCACAGGTGGTTCTCACCTGAGGCCCACGAGCGCAGGGGTCTGCCCAAGGTCAGCAGGAAGTCACCTTAAACTTTCCTTTCGCTTACATTACTGACCATGCCTTCCTTCCTCTTGGCTCCTGTGACTCCACACTTAATGTTTTTCCTTCACTTTCTCTGTTGTTTTTGCAGGTGCATCCTCCTTTCTACTGCGCTTAGATGCTCTGCTGTCCCGCCTGCCTCTCTCCTTGTAGTAGACCCTCTCCCTGTGTGATCACACCCCCTCCCCTGGCTTTAGTCACCACCCCTATCACATGACTCCATTTATGTCTCCAGCCCAGATCACTCCTCCGGCTGGCGACCCACCCGTTTATTGTCAACCAGGCACTGTTCGGCCCCTGGGGATATAGTGAGGAGCTAGACAGAAGCTATGTGTTATCAGGGTGTGTGGGGAGGAGGGGTAGAGACAAGCAGTAAACATCCAAGTGGAAAATACCAGATAAGGTTAAGAGCTAGAATGAGCACAAATGAGGGTGACATGGTAAATGATGAGAGAGCTACTTTATGTTGGATGCTCGAAGCGTGTCATTTAAGGGGGGCAGCTGGTAGAAGGTGAGGTCAAAGATGTGGCCGGGGTGGGGAAGTATCACATGGGGCCTCATAAGGCATGGTGAGGATTTTGGACTTTATTCTGAATAAGGTGGAAGCCACTGGAGGATTATAAATAGGCGAGAAGGCAGGCTGTTTATTTTATTATCATCTTTTGCAGTCTTGGGGAATCGAGCCGGGGTATCTATCACACATACATAGCAAACACTCTCCCACTGAGCCCAAATGCTGTTATTTCTCCAGGACCCATTTGAGCCCTAAGAGAAGAATTGTTTCAGATGGACTGAAGTGCATCTGAAGGGAGTAGGTAAATCTTCAAGGAGCTCCTGCCCACAGGCAGTAAGAGGCACAAGCCAACCTGGAGTCAGGACAGGGAATAAAGAAGAGGGATTTTTGCCTGGCAAGCTCAAGGTCATGAGTTCAATTCCCGGTGCCGGGGGGAAAAAAAAAAAGAAGAAGAGGGATTTTGCTCCAGTGGGTCAAGAAAGGCTTCCTGGAGGAAGGGGCTTCTAAGTATGAGGAAAATGGGAAAAAATTTTTCTTCCAGGCAGATGAAACAGCCTGAACTAGACATAAGTGCCCCAGATCCTGTAAGGGAGGGGCAAGTCCGGGCTGTTAAGACCAAGGCTCCTGCCATTGACTTGAGTGAGCCTCAGCTTCCTCATTCTTTTAATGAAATAACTAGTTCTTGGGAGAGAAAATTCCAAGTTCTGGGAATGGGCTGGGATGTGGCTCAGGAGTGGAGCATTTGTCTAGTCTATGTGAGGTCTGGGCTCCATCCCCAGCACTGCAGAAAATAAATAAATAAATAAATAAATATCGATCAAATATTTGAAGGCTGTGTGAAAAAGAGCAGGATAATGGCTGCCAAGAAAGGGACTGACAGGGGCGGATGTGGGTGGGAAAAGATGGTGGCGTGACTGGGCTTGGGACTCCTGTGGGATACACAGGAGGGTACAGAGAGGGAGGGTCAAAGGTCAAATTGTCACTGTTCTCCTTTCCTTCATTGTTTGAGTAAATCTTTATTAAGCACCTGTTCAGTATATTCAGCTATGAACAAAACTAGGTCCTTGCCCCAGAAACACACTGTCTTGTGGAGAGAGAGGCCCCTAGACACTGGATGGGGGATGATGTGAGATGTATGTGTGGGACATAAATGAGCGGGACTAGGTTGGCATGGAGGAGAGCAGCCGGCCCTTCTGGGGTGGAAAGAGCTGTAGACAAGACAAGCTTCAGAAAAGAGACTATGGGACGCTCCATGGCACAATCGGTGAGCGCTCGGTACTTCCAGAGAAAAGAGACTGTGGAACTTGGTCCTGAGGGTGAAGAGGAGTTGAGTGGGTACATGGGAGAGGGGCGCTGGGCCTTTCTGAAAATCAAGTCTGGCAGAGAGACAGGCTAACCCCGAGGCCAGTCCAAGGGAGTCCAGTGTGATGCCCACATAAGAAGGCCAATGGAACAGAGAGGAAAGAGTAGCCAGGGGCCCTCCAGAAAAGGCAGAAGAGCTAGGAAGAAAGGCGTACTGTATAGAGGGTGTCTTAGGTACTATCTCATGCTGGGACTCAATATCCAACCCCCACAAATTCAAGGAGGAAAGGTGTATTTCAGTTCACAGTTGTAGAGGTTTCAGTGCATCGTGGGCTGGCGCTGAGGCAGGGCAGCATGGCGGAGGGGCATGGCAAGGAGAAAGGGCTCACGGCATGGTGGGGGGTGCAGAGAGAGATGTGGAGGAGAGGGAGTCTTCCAGGCCACACCTGCAATGACCCACCTGCTCCAACCAAGCTTCACATTCGGCTATCAACCCATTGGTGGACTAATCCACCAATGAGAATCATGCTCCGTGATCCGGGTACCCTCCCAAAACCCCACCTGTGAGCGCTTGGAGGGACACCTAGATATAAACCATAAAAGGAGATAACCTGCACTATCAGAGATGTGAGAACCGCAGGGCTTTTGTAAGCGCAGGTCTCTGCCAAGAGGCAGATGGAGGAGGGGTCTTTCGCTGAATCCAGGTGAGAGGAAAGAGCTAGAGCCTGTGGCCTCTAGGTGGGTATGAACAGGAACCGGAAAAGGACATGGGGGTGGATTCTGGGCCAGGCTTCTCCAAGCTCCAGTCGTGTGGCCTGGGCGTCACTGACCCCAGTTTCTCCTCACTTGCTGATTCTGTTTGTCTTTTTGTGCTCAGCTGTAAAACCATTCCTAGAGAGGGAGCTCAGGGTCGCCACAGTTTACAGGCTTGCACACTTCACTGTGGTCCCCATCACCTCTGCGGTCCGAGGCGCCGGGAGTGTTTCCCCAGGGCCAAGTCTCCCTAAGGTGAGCGTCACGTCGCGTGGCTCTCGCCAGCACACGAAGGCTTCACTGGATGGGGGTTACTGAATGGATGAGAGAACAGGCGCAGAGAGGCTGAAGTACTTTCCCAAAGTCACAGAGCTGATACTGTGTGAGGCTGGGAGGCACACTGTCTCCCTAACTCCAAACGTGTACCCACTTTTAATCACTGTGGCTCTGAGCCTCCCAGCAGGGCAAGCAGATGGTGAAGAGTGGGTTGGATCCTGTAAACACTAAAAAATTCAGTGCCTGATTTCTAGGAAATGAATTCCTATTGTTAGTACCTTGTTTATCCAGTCTGGAGAAGGCAGATTCTCTTCTGTCCTGATGATGGTTTCACTCCATCAGCTCAAGTGCACTCTGGGGATCAAGATGTGCAACATCTGGGGCTGGAGAGAGGAGCCAGGCTGAGC